GTATGATATTGGGGGGAAATGGGGAAGCGGATTGGGGGAGGGGGGTTGTCACTTCGAGGGGTAAACAGTATAACTATTTCACTGTGTTGTACAGCTGAAACTAATTCTAAAAAATGTGTATTTCATAATAAAAAATAATTTAATAAAAAAATATATAGATGTGTAACCACTATACTGTACACCTGAAATTAATATAAAAATATTGAATGTCAACTATAACTGATAAATTTTAAAAGGAGGAAAGAGGAGAAGGGGAATAAAAGGTTCAAATCTCCAGATATAAAACAAATAAGTCATGGGGATGTAATGTACAGTATGGGGAATATAGTCAGTAATATTGTGATACCGTGTTACGGTATCAGATGGTTACTAGGCTTATCATGGTGATCACTTCTGTAGTATATAAATGTTGAATAGCTATGGTGTACCCCTGAAACTTATATAATACTCGTATTCTTAACAAAAATCTTTTTAAAAATGTACAACTTATAAAGAACTGGCTACTTCAACAGAAATTTCCATTCATTTCATCAATTGCAACATTAAGCAGGCATTATCTTAGTCAAGGCTATACTTCAACTCAAGAAGTATTTCAGTGTTTACCCATGGCCTAAGTGCTGACTTAGGATCAAGGGAAGTATTTATTGAGTACACAGTGTTTGCAACACATAGGAGAAATTTAAATTGCACAGAGAAAAACCCCATCACAAAAGTACTTCAGCTTACCACTGATTATAAAAAGACTGGCAAAATCATTTTTACCATGAACCGATTGTGGTGACTTACCTCTGTATCAACATAAACAAGTAACAGGACTATCATCTAGCCCTTTAATACTAGTATAAATGTAGTGTGTTCTGCAGTTTAGAACTTACACCAACACAGGCCTTAACCAACCAAGTACTGTACTATTTCCTGAGTGCCTACAGTAGGGGAGATACAGGTACTAAAAGACATATTTACCTTCTGAATAAGCAGTTCAACTGTTTCTTATTCAAGTAACTCAGAATCCATAGTAACTCCATCCAATGTGCCATCAGAGAAGTTGCAAGTTGAACTAAACTGATGTCCACCACAAAACCCTTTTTCTTTTGAACTCTCTGTAAAGTCTACTTTCTCTGTGCATCCAACTAAAATAAATGGCTCCTCATAAATAGTGTACATTTACAATAACATACATTCACATATTTTTTTCCCACATCTTATTTAAGAGCAAGGGGTTCTCGAGTCAGATTGAATTCCAGTTGTGATTGTCAGTGTGACCTTGGGTAAGTCACTTCAGTTCTCTGGGTCTGTTTTCTCATCTCAAAAACGGGGTTAATAATAGAAATTACCTCATTAGTTATCTGTTAAGGATTAAATGAGCTAATATTTGCCAATTTCTTAGCACAGGGAGTACATACTCAATAAATGGTAGATTTCATTATTATTCTTTAATAATTGCCAACCTTTGAAAGTTTGCCAGGCAATTATAATGATCCCCATTGGGTAGATGAGATTAAGTAATTTATCCAATTAAACAATTCATTAGTGGCAGCTCCAGGGGTTCTCATTCTAAGCGCGAGGACCCGCACCACTCTCATTACCCCCAGTCAACCTTATAGACTTTTACAGAATGGGCTGCACTGTCCAGCACAAGAAGAGAATTCTCCTTGGTGAAGGTCAGTGCCACAGGATGGGCAAGACCATGGGTGATGATGGGTTTCAATACTGGAAACTCCTCAGGTTTCCCTAAGCATAGGACAGCCTGACTGGAAGTATCAGAGACAATCACATTCCCCTGGTGATCGAAGGTCACAGCGGAAGCAGTGATTTTGGAGGGGAAGAAGAGGCTCAGCCCAAAGGTATCCACCTGGCCGATGAGTTGCATGCTTGCGCTGAACACCTTCACCGTCGTACTGCAGGCCCCAGTCCCCGGGGCCAGGGGGCACTCTAGGACCGCAATGGCCCCGGTGAGCCAAGACACGGCCACTCCTCGGGGACTGCATAGATGCGTTTGCAACCTTTCGGTTCTCCGGAGGACCCCTTCCAGAAAGTCCAGTTCCAGAAGGTGCAAGGACCCTGCCTCCGCATCAGTTACTACAATCCCATTCTGAGGGGTGGTCTCCACACCCCAAGGCAAGGAGAACTGGTCTCCAATGATAAGCTTGATCTGGCCAAGAAAATCAAACACTTTGATGGATCGGTCGCCGGCGTCAGTGACAACCACATGGCAGTCGTTGGTGACGGTGACATCAAGTGGGTACCTAATGTCCTGGGCAGCGTCCCCCTTCTCTCCAAACTGATGAGCACATCCTCCCCCAGAATCAAAGATCTTGACCCGCCTCTTGCCATCGTGCACCACCACTACCCGCCCCGTCTTGGGACACAGCGCCAGACCAGTGGGGTTGACCAGGGTTCCCCAGCCGCCGAAGGCGTGGTGGCAGATGAGGGTCCCGGAGCCGCAGGGGGCGGAGCGGTGGACAGCCCGGGCTGGGCGAAGCGCGGAGCCCAGGAGCTCCAGGAGGTGCAACACTGGCAGGCAGTCGCTGGTGTCGCAGCCGCGGCAGGCCCTGCGGCAGAACGGGCACTCGAGGGCCAGCGTCCGCGGGTGCGCCAAGGCGGCCACGCAAGCCAGGCAGACCACGTGGCCGCAGGGCAGGTTGCGGGGGCGCCGCTGCTGGCGGTGCCCGAACCTCTCAAAGCACACCTTGCACTCCAGCAAGCTGGTCTCGGCCTCGCGTACGAGCTCCCGCAGCGCCGGTCCGCTCTCCGAGGCCTCGGCACCCATCGCACCGCCCTGGGTACTCCCGCCGCGTCGCCAGCCAGTTGGGCTGGACACCGCCTCCCCGTCGCCCTAGGTCACTGTCACGCGCCTGGGCGCTTGTCCTGACGTAGACCGCGACTGGCTGCTAGGCTGCCACCTGCTGCCCCCTGGTGGGCGCGAGCGGCACTGCTTCCTGAGGGCCTGAGAGTGGACATTTAAAAGCTGTATCCACAGCGTGTAGCTGATCAGGCGTGCAATCTTCACAACAGTCATGGATGGATTATCTCCACGTAACACAAAAGGAAACACACCTATTGAGGACAAGCCTGTAAGTGGCAAAGCAAGAACTGAACAACCCAGTCTTCCAACCCTGATGCCCTGCGGTTTCCAATCTGCAGCACTGGGTAGCTGGGTGCTAGGGCTGGCCAGTCATAAAACATGGTCTCATAGCTCATGATGCGTATGATCTGGGAAAATACAAGAGAAGTTAAATTCAAGAGGTGATGCAGGTGTGTGTACTTCTTTTATGTCTTCTATTACACTCGTAAAGTAGATGCTTAATGAATACATGTAAAATGAATTCATGTATGAACAAATAAATGTTGTAGCACAATACAAGAAACCCACTAGGTGGACAAGTGTCAGATGGGCGAACCATGGTTGGGAATGTCTTCTAGAGGAATTAATATGAAATATTAAATATTTCATTAAATAAAAGAAGGCTGTTAATCATAATTGCTATAGAACTTACTCCATGCTTGCCTTCTACTAATTGGTTTACATAAACTCATTTTAAACCTCATGACTTTCCTATAAGAGTATGTTATTTTCATCACCCCTTTTCTACAGGAGTTCATAGAGGTCACATGGCTAGGAAGTGGCTGCACTGGGATATGAAGCCAGGCAGTTTGACTGGAGAGCCCACACTTTTAACTATCCCAGTGGTTTTCTAACTTGGTTGCATGTGGTAAATACCTGGGTCTCACCCCTAGGTTTAATGGGTTCTGGGTGTGGTCTGGGCAGTTGGAATTGTTAAAAGCTTCCCAGGTGATTATAATGTGCTGCCAATTTCGACAACCATGAACAACCGCCCTAGGACAATCCCTACAAATGGCACCAGGTTAAACTCTCCCAACCTCAGTCGGGATCGAAAGCACAGAGAATCTACCCTATGTTCAAAAATCCTCAAACAGGATATAGCATAATTTCTCTCAGGAATCCATTGTGGTACTACAATATCTCATTTTCAGAAGTCCTCCCTACACTTCTCCCTCAAGACCTTACATGAATGCTGTCTTTATAAAACCAAATACCAGAGCACTTTTCTTCATCTAGAGATCATTATCTTGATCGTTTGCCCTCTTGTTTGCTAGACTTGAGAAAACAGAGAATTTTTATTCCATTAAACCTCCTGAAGGGAGTTTTAATGTAAGACAAAAAAGAACATTTTCGTATCATATATTACATAATTCAAAGATTATTTATGGATTGGGACATAATAACCAATTTACCAATATTTCAGACTATAATTCACTTCCATTCCAAATAGTCAACTAAAGTCAAATCAAATAGAAATTACTTTCTGAAGTAATCTTTAAGTCAAGAAATACACCAAAACTGGAATATTTTTAGAGCTAGTGTCTAATAGAAATATAATGAGAGCCACATATATAATTAATTTTCTAGCAGCCACATTTTTAAAAGTAAAAAGAAGCTAGTAAAATTAATTGCATATTTTATTTAACCCCAAATATCCACAATTTTATCGTTTTGATATGAAATCACTATACAAATTATTGAGACATTGTACACTCTTTTTAGTACTAAATAAAATCCAGTGTGTATTTTACACTCACAGCACATCCCAATTTAGACTAGCCCCATATCAAGTGCTCCGTAACCACATGCAACTGATGGCTGACTTATGAAACACTACGGATACGGACCAAGTTTATGCTATGAAACATTGCCTTCTTGAGATGCTTTCCAGACTGATTTCATTGATCCTTGACTTGCTTTAATTTGTCTCTGATCCACCATTGTTTTAAAATGTATCCAAAGATCCTCCCAACTCTTTGCTGACTTTGGCGGAGCTTAGACCCTTCCATGACATCCCGTTAGCCTGTCAGAAGTGGTGAGCTGGAGGGCTCACCACCTCACTCCGCTCCTTGAAAATCCTACCTTCTTATTTTTGATGTTTTGCTGCCCCTGTGGGGAAACTCTTAGTACCGCACCAAGAGGCAGACGGTATTAGCGAGGTAAACCAGAAAAACCTGCAATAAACCAGACTATTTCGGGATATTCATGGTAATCTCTCAACGGTTTAGTAGTTACACAGCACGGTGGTTCTGGACAGCACTGTGGCACATACACAGGCAGTCCACCCTCTTGATTTATGGTCCAAAATTCTAATGGTAAATTTAAAGCATGGAAATATTTTGTGACAATTGACTGGGAATTAAGGTTTTCTCAGTTACACAAAGCTTCAGAACTAAAAACATGTAGGTTTGAATCTTTCACAATTGAGGGTCCTCACACTCTAACTCAGCATCCTTATCAATCATTTTCTTCACTGTTTGCTGCCTGTCCATGGAATTAAACATTCTGTTCCAGTGTTCCTGTCAACCCAACCCAGTCACTCACTCCCTTCGCAGTTGTCCTTTTTCTACTTTACCAGGCATACGGAGTCCAATTTCCCTTTTCACCCAATCTTAAAAATTGCTCTTTATCTTCACAAGCCACCCCCCTTTCTTTTGCTCCTGTCTTTGGAGATAAACTAAGTTCCAGGGGAGCAGGAACCATGTCTGGTTTTGCTCGTCACCATATCCCCAGTGCCTAGCACATGCCTGATACACAGTAGGAGCCCAATGAATGTTTTTCAAATGGATAAATGAATACTTAAAAGGATACTACTTACAGGCAGCAAACCCAAATTTTATACCTTTTCTTTGATGATGCTCTAGGATTTATAGGGAACAGTGTTAGGAAAGTAGCATTTATCCAGGAACTGTGCATTTTGCTTATCTCTAGCGTCCATGCCGACAGGTTTCTCAGATATAGAGTATAATCCTCATCACATACATACACACATGTTGATTAGGAAAAGAAATGCCTTGAGTCTAAATCGAACATTTTGACTTACCTATGGTGAATCTTTTCGTGGCTGAATCTCCATGGGTTTCCTCTGTGCTTCCCTCCAATAATCCTCACGTAGAAGGTCCTGAAAGAGCCTGCCCATCTCTCCCTGCTTCCACCTAGAATGAGCCCTACGTGTTGTGCAAGCAAAGAGCTTGAAGAACCGAACCTGTGGTCAATGGTTGGTCCTACGTGCAAAGTACCACCCAGCAGAGGAGGG